TAATCATGGTTATTTGGAGTCCTATATGCCTCACTTATCTGTATGTCAAATTCTTCCCCTCTGTTTGGGAAGTTTTCTGTAATGAATTCTGTGAATAGTTTTTTTTTTTTTAATGTTATTTGCACTTTCTTCTGCTACTTAATGGATTCCTATCAGTCTTATATTTTTCTTCTTTGTATCATCTAGGAGTTGTTGCATTGATTTCTCATGATCCCTTAGGGTTTTTAAGAGCTCTCTTTTCATGGTCACTGACCACAATCCTATCTTCTATATCTGAAATTCTATCTGCACATTTGTTCATTGTGCTGCAATTGTTTTCTATAGAATTTTTAATCTCCTTCATATCTGTTTGAATCTGCTTCATGGATTCCATTTCTTTCCAATGTTGGGCATTCATGGTTTCCATCATGGTCCTGAGCTCATCTATTTTTTTATCTGTTTCTCTTCTAGTCTTTAATCATATCTTGCATTCTTCTCCCCATCTGTGTGGTTATCTGATAAATTATTTCTATTTTGAGTTTTTCTAGAGCATCATTTATCAGTTTTGTTACTTCCTGTGATACCAGTTCAGGGTGTCCAGATGGCTATCAGACTTTTCCTCCTCATTTTCCCCAGTGTTTACCTTTGGTGAGTTGGAAGTCTGTGTTTGTGCCTTGTTTAAAATGCCTTCTCATTTCTATTTGTTGTTGGTACTGTCCTTGGTTTTATTCCTGTGTTAATACTTTGATCTTCCAGATATAGGTGGTCTAATGACTCTGAGGCAATCTCATTTTCATTATACCAGAAAGGACAACTGATTAGATCAATCACAACACCTTAGCCCAAGTGATACAATCAGCAACACAATAGCATCAAGCACAGCTTTGAAAATGACAATTTGTGGTAGTTATTAATCTATCACCTTTAACTGTGTGAATTAAATCAAAATCAAGGATCAGCCCAAAATATGTTTATAGTGAATAAACTCTTCAATATAGCAACTTATATAGTCCCCTTCAGGTTGGGGACTTACGAGGAGTGGGGAGGGAGTAATAGATAGATAGATAAGATAGAGAAAGGTTGGAAGTGAGGTCAGAGGACACAGGAAGATCACACAAACTCCAGGAAACTGTTGGACAGAAGAGGAGAAGACAGAGCAAAATATACACAAGACCAGAACAAACTAACAGCAATAGGGAGGCTAGAGACTAATCACTCTTTCTTTTAAAACTAATGACAATTGAGAGAAGGAATAAGAGAATAAAAGAAAAAGAAAGAACATAAATTTGAATTAGGATAGGAATAGGAACAAAAAGGGAGATAAATGAAGATCAGGATGTATGGGAACAAGAGTGAGAGAGGGAGAATAAGCAAAAGATAAAAAAGGAAAAAATTTGAGAAAAGAAAAAGATAAAAATTTTTAAATGATTAAAGATGAGAAAAATATTACTTTGAAAATTAAAAAATGCAAATAGAATTAGAGGGCATCCTTCAGGGTATGCCTCTGTTGACACAACAGACAGTGTGGGAAGGAGTGTGCAGGTCTAAGTTAATTACTCTCAGCGAGCCAGCAGCTGTCCCCTGAGTTTTCAGGCTGATTTCTCTCTGCAAGGCCCAAGTGGAGATCTCTGCCCTCCTACTGGGTTGCACTCTACAAGGTTCTTCAGCAGGTTTCAGCTGTCTTACCCCTGAAGTTAGATCAGGTTTCGATGTGAGGTGCTGGTTCCTCTGACTTACCAACTATGTGGTGTAGTGTGCCTTTATCAGAGAGATTTTCTTCACTTTTCTAGTGGGCTTCAATTTTTATCTAGGAGCCTCAGAGCAGCCCTCTTCCTCTTGTTCATATGGGTTGGGGGCATGGAGACACTGTTGGTGCCCATGTGGCTGGGCTCCTCTGCTGTGCTGGGCTGAAGGTGTGGGCCTACCAGAGGGTCTCAGGCTGCTTCTGAGCTCCTCTGTTGCTCTGTGCTGAAAAGGCAGACCCATAATAGGGTTGCAAGCTTCTGCCAGGCTCCTCTGCTGTGCTATGGCCAAAACTATTTTTAAATATATATGTATATATAGAGAAAATTTCCCTTCATGTTTCTTTCAAGGAGAAACTTGATTTATGAAGTCAAACCGGGCTTGGTTTAAATCTAAGCTTTTTCATACTTACTATTTAGCCATATGATCTTTGGCAAATTAGTTTCTGATTGTCTTCCTTTTAGCATAAGTAGAGTCTGCCTCATAGTCTGCCTCATATTTTTGCTATAACAAAAATAAATGTGTAAATAAACACAAAACATTAAACTGTTCTACAGAAAGATTTCAATCAACATTAACAATTGTTAATTATAAGGGTGAAGTGAGGGAAATGCATAGACTCTTGTCCAGACTCCGATTTCCTAGTTCTATCTTATAAAAAAGACTAGAAATGCCAATTTTGAAAAAAAATGAATAATACAGATATTGTACTTAAAATCACTGAGATGAAAGGAAGGTGGCCTGCTTCTACTCCTCTCACCATGGAAACCAGCAATAGAAATCCCCACAGGCACATATTCTGATTTGGCTCCAAGAAAATAGCCCTTAATATGGAAACCCAGGAAACCTGGGACTAAACTCATCAGACCAGCAGGCTTGGATATTCCCTTTCATCACCTGAGTGACATGGGCTTTAGGCAGAAAACAGGCTGAAGCATATGTGTCCCTTATTTTAGAAATAACAAAAGAGATTTATCCCCTCATTGATAACTGAATACTAAGAAATTTGCGATTGTTCAAATATCACATAAAATAAGGCTGTTTTTCCCCCATAGATGTCTTTTTGTTGGGAAGTAAGGTGGCCCTGTAACAAGGGGTTATCACTCCAATTATATCAGGATGGGAGATAATTAAATATTAAAAGAATGCCATTGCTTTTGCTCTTGATTTTCAAATTTTGATATTTTGCCTATGAATTACTCTGATCACACCTAGCTGACACAATTCATTCTACCTCCAACTTAGTCCCACCAGATTATACAGCAACAACACCTGCTTTAATATCTTACTAATTAGGATAGAAGCATGTATAGTTCTTTTATTCTATCATCTACCAGCCACTGTGCCATATCACTAGGGGATGGGAAATCCCCAAATGACAGCTCTGCCTATGGCCTAAAACATTTTAATTCCTTCTCCTTATCACAGCTCTTACTCTAGATGCTTTCAAATTCAGTCCTATGAACTCTGAAACTAATCCCTTAATTATGTCAACCCTCTCCCCTCTTCCCACAGACTAGATCCTCGTAGAAACAGAGGACTCACCTGGTTCTCACATGGATCTTTCTCTAGTTTTTTGTTTTTTTGTTTTTTTTTTTAAGAAGGCTCTGTTTATTTCAGGGCACAGAAGAGAAATAGCAGAGGCACAGATCCTAACACAAACATGATACCCCAGCCACAGGGTTGACAGAGGCTGTCAGCAGAATGACACGAAGAACTTTTAAACCAGTGGTACCTTGGGATCCACCCTCAGAGGGTGTGATATAGTTGGGCTCTTCGGAGACTGCTGGTAGCCCAGGAAGCCAGACTGACAGCACTTCTCCCTCCCTGGCAGCAACCTGACTGGAGGGCCCTTGTGAAGCCAGGCTGCATCCGGGAGCTAATCCGCACCCGACGCTCAGGCTCAGTGCATACTTCTGTCTCCTGCTCCTGTGATTCTCACTGAGACGTGCCCCAAACTTAACTCCTCATGGCCCTCTAGAGTCTGCTAGCTCAGGGACCAGTCAGCAAATCTGACAACTAATTCATCACCTAACTAAGCATGCAGTACAAGGCCCCTCTCTTTGCAGACACCTCATAATGTATAGATAATTACCTGAGATTTGACTCACCTGACTCTTGCAATGGGGAGCAAAGAGGAGGAACTCCCTTTCTGAGCACTGTACGTCCCCTAAAAGGTGACAATCCTTTCTGTATATTTTGGGGGTGTACAGGAAGTAGGACACATTATCTCTTTATAGAGAATATACCCTCTGATAAATAAGTTAGAATTTGCATGGATTAACATAAGAAAGTGAAAAAAAAATGGAAACAAAGGGAGTAAGGGAAGGGCTTAAGGGAGGGCAGAGGGATGAGGAAACAATAAGAGCCAAGAATGATTATGTAAAGGTACAAATTTCCAACAATAATTGTCATTATTCTGTATACCTTAAATATACCAATAAAATTAATTTAAAAATAAATAAAATGATAGCTAAAAAAAAGAATTTGTAGTTGATTTGTTGCTACAATTAAGCATGAGGCCTTGAGGCCTTGCTGGCAATTTTGCACCTAACCCTTCACTGTCAATCACACCTTGGTAAGTTCTAAATCATTAAGTGACAGCCTAGTACCTTGTCTCACTGCAGGCAAGATTATGCAGTAATTTAACCTTTTTGAGGCAAAATTTCCTCATCTTTCAAAAGAAAAACAAATACAACTGTTGTGGCATAAAATTGAAGCTAAAATTATACCTGGGAAAGTACTTTGTAAAATGTACAGCCCTATGAATGTAATGCAGTTATGTCAATTATGGATAAAATAATTCTTTGGCCATTTATTACTATTCTCTGTATGTTTCTTCATTTTTAATTTGATTCTATTTGTTATTTCTTCCCATTAACATGCAAGCTCTGTGAGGTGAAGACCTTTTACATGTTGCTCACTACTGGGTCACCAGCATCTCAAACCTTGCTAAGTGCTCAGATAATTAGTAGACATTTACTGGATTAATACTTTTATTGGATTAATAGTAGAGACTATCTTAATTAGCTCATGAAATAATATTTTCAAAATGTTTCAAATGCCCTCCTGAATTAAGATCATCCTGTGTCCTTGTTGTTGGAAAATCCTGAGGCTCACCTCACACCCATTCAATCAGAAGATCCAGGAGTCAGAGGGGAATTTGTTTTCTCCACCTCCAAGTACCTACAGATTTAATCTGCAGCAAATGGCATCCATGGGAATGAAACACAAAAGATTTGCTCTTAGTTTACAGTGGCCCCTGAGGAAATCCATACCCATGTAAGGCTTGGTGCCCGCCACGGTGGTGATCCTCATCTCCTTGGGCAGCATGGCTGCGATGTTGAAATCTGTGATGTGTACATGCCCTGGGGAGAAAGAAGGCCCACGTAGAATGTTAAGTCCCATTTAACTCAGTCATACAATAGTGTTTAATTGTAGGCTGGAAGCATCTGGAAACTTAGTCTGTAAATCCTTGTATGCTAGTTGCAATGGGCTACAGACAATAAAAGCTCACTTCTTCCATCCTCAAGGCCAATGTGACCTTCAATCAGCAGCCCTCCAGCAGCCAGAACATGATACTCAGTGATACCTCTCTGACTGTAAACTTGTAGTTCAGCCTCTGGACGTTTTAAGTTCAGTAGTTGAGTTAATGCTCTGATGATTCTACTTAGGCAATTCTGTCTGTTGGCAACATTTTAAGTTGTTGAACCTGTGAATATCAGGAGAGAATAGCTAAGAGCTGCACAATTCCAAGCACCTCCTCAAACTTAAAAAAAAAAAAAAAAAGGAAAAATACTGTAAGCAGCCACACGATCAAGAAATTGCCCTTTTCCCCTGGTTTTATAAAATGCTATTAGTTTTAGGGTTGGACAGTTCAGGTTGTCTTCATCAATCACCAACAAAATAATGGACATCCAGGAAAAGCAGAGGGGGAAGGTCAGCTTTTGTTTTTAAAGGGGCCAAAGAGCACTGGTCTAGGGGCAAAGAGATCCAGGCTCTGCCCTGAACTCTGCCCCTGGTGCAGAGTAATCTTGCAGTCATTTTCCTGGGCTAAACCTAAATTCTCCTTTACAAGAAAGAGACTGGGTAGAAGGGATGATCACTAAGGTCTCTCTGGGAGTGAACACTCATGGCAGTGCAGCAGGGGACACAGCAAAGCACCCCAGGTCCTTGCATTTATGGCTGGAAGAGAGAAAAGACCAGCACCAGAAGCCCAGGCAGCAGGCTTGACACAATAGTCACCTTCTTTCAGAGGATCTTGAAGTTGGTGTTTCCTTTGCATGTGTCTGTGTTTTACAGAAATGGCTGCAATCGGAAGGGAAGCAATCTGGTTCTTCCTTCACGGCCACCATCCACTCTCCCTATACCAAATATCACCGTAGGCTTCCTGATAGCAGACAGCCCATTCCTCACGATAAATCTCACTGCCTTCACTTCCAGAGTTCTATTTGTGCAGAAACTCTTGTTGTTTATGTGATATTTTCACAAAGTAAAAGTGGCACTCATCTAACTAAAAGTTGAGGTATTCTCACCTGAAGGGCACCAACAGATGATTTTTAATAACTTTCCCTATCATACTGAGGGTTGTCTCAAGGTTTTTCCTCCTCTCTTTCTGTAGTTCATGCTCCAAGCATTGGACCAGTGATTCAGGAGATTTGAACCAATTAGCTGGACCTGGAAACATTGGGGTTATGAGCTGTCCTCTGGAGACAGACTACTGGACATAGATTTGAGCCCAAGTCTACCACTAACTAGCTATGATACCTTCAGTCACCTATGATCACTGATGACAACAGTCTTTTCATAATTTAAGGTTACTGGGAGGAGTAAACAAAATAATGACAATAAGGGACTTGACAGGGGATTTCAATCGTTGATATTTATCATTATAAATATCTTGCTAGCCTGAATAGATTTTTCTAACCTCAGTCCTAAGATATCTATTGCCATGTAAAAGTTGAAGGTGACAGATGTCTTCAAATTACCTGGTTTCTAAAGCACATTCTCCAGACCAGGAGCATTAGTGCCACCTGAGACCTTGCCAGACATGCATATTCTTGAATCTCCTCCAGATTTACTGAATCAGAGCTCTGGGTTGGGGTCTCAGTGTTTAAACAAGCCCTCCAGGTGATTCTGATGCGCAGAGAAGTTTGAGATCACCGCTTTGAAAGAAGGCTTGGGTTCATACCAGGTTCAGACCCCAGTTAAGTATTCGTTTCTGTTGAATTTGGTTGAATGAATACTGAATATTTATCTTTCAACTATTCTTTACATTTGTATGATAAACTCAGTTTTCAAAATGCTGTCACACAAAGCTTCTCTTTTAACCAAGACAGTGGTCCCTAGTTTATATAAGAGGTGTTTGTGGTTGACAGGGCTCAGAAGTAGCAGAGTTGGAATTAAGATCTAAAATTTGGTATAGGACCCCTTGGTGGTTGTGTTACAGGACCAAAGAAGCCAATAATTTGAAGCTTCCTCCCGACGCTGCCATGCTTTGCTCACCCTAGTGACAACTGCTGGCTTCCTTTTTGTGCTGTGAAAGTGAGTTTGAGCGCTGCATCACAGAGGAGGGGGTTAGTCTCCTGCTGACTGAAGGAGACAGAAATTCCTTAGGGCGAATGGGAATGGCTATTTCCATAAAGCCCCTCAGAACAGAGCTTCTGAACCTTGGTACTACTGAGGGGTGCCTGAGGCATGATGGGATGTGTAGAAGCATCCGGGGCTTTACCCACTGGGATCCAACAGCGCCTCCTACCCGTCACTGCAGTCTTCCAATCAGAAATGTCTCCAGCAAATTTCCCCAGCAGGGAGAGGCACTGGAGCAAAATCACGAACACTGAGAACTTCCTGATCTAATGCCTTGGGGGAAGAGAAGCTCTGTGGTTTGAGACTGAGGATAACATTAAAAATCTGCACTCATCTCACCGAATCATCAAATTCAGCCATCACAGTTCTCATTCTCTATATTTTTCCTCACTGTGCCAGTGCTAGGTCTGAGGACCTTTCTCATCAACATAATGCTCTGGGGTACAGTAACAAATCAGCTATCCTCACCAAAAGGTGAACTCTCCCCTCTTTTCAATTATTTAGAGTATGTGCCATCTGAGGACCTTTCTCATCAACATAATGCTCTGGGGTACAGTAACAAATCAGCTATCCTCACCAAAAGGTGAACTCTCCCCTCTTTTCAATTATTTAGAGTATGTGCCCCACACACGCGCGCACACACACACACACACACACACACACAAAGCATATATTTAGGCACTGCTTGGGACTAATCTGATTATCTGTGAGAAAGGGGAAATATTCTGCATAATATATACCCACCTTTTAAAAACACCATCTACTTGAATTTTAGGTACATTTTGGGTCTCTGCAAGGGAGAAGCTGTTAAGGTGACAAGCTCAGTTCTTCCCTACCCTCTAGACAAGTGTTTTTTTTTTGCCTCTTCTTATGACAAGAAATGATATTAAGACACCTAAATTATACATGATTCCATAATTGTCATGATATGTCAGGCAGACATTATTGTTCATCTAGATATTGTTCATGTTTATTTCATGAATAATTTAAGAAAAACCCAAGAATTTTAGACACTACAGAATTGATAGAATTGGATGGAGTACTTAAACTGGTAGAATATGAAGATATGTTATCAAGACAGTTGGCTATGAGTCATCCAACATCTTATGCCATCCTGGCTCTGAATGAGTAAATGAGACACTTGGGAAACCAATATCAGGTATGCTCTGAATTAAAAACATTTTTCTATGACAATTTCTGATGTATGTGGAATGTTCGTTCACGTTATGGAAAGATTTTCCATATAACAATCATCTCTGTTAAATGTCCATATTTCCTGGTGATTGTGAATAATACAACTCAATAAAAACAAGTTTGCACTTCTTAGTAAGTGGTGCTGGATTGCTGATTTGCATGTTCCAACACAATGCTTATTCAGAAAGATGGGCCAGGGTAGCACACCAAAATACAGGAATATCACCAAGTAAAGGGCCTGGGCGATGGCCCAGCAGGGGGCAATGTCACTGAAAAGGCAAGTGAGGACTTCAGATATGAGCTCCACACAGAAGATCACATCCGCAGATGCTCCAAAAGGCAACAGCAGATTTGTGGGTCAGTGATTTGCACACAAACAACTACATGATAAGCTAGGAGATGGGTCGGGAAATTTTTCACTTAACCAAAATTAATTATGGTCCCTGTCAGAAGTCCTAGTTTTTAAAAATCAAAATAAATAAAAGTAATCTAAAAAAAAAAGACTTTTTTTCCAGAATGGAATCCCTAGGACAATACTTAGAGAATGGCTCTCAACAGTTTTGTTTGCTTGTTTCTGTCCTATTCATCAACAATCCTCCCAAGGCATTTTTTTTTCTATCATACACAGAAATTATTGTCCAATTGAGTTCAGGAAGGGAATATAAAACAGAAAGCCTCCTTTGAATTCATTGTTCAAGCCAAGAGCTTGAGAGTGAAAGGGGTCATTGTAAATAATACACCAGATAACAGATGTAGACTAGAACTGCCGCCGAGACAGGCTGGGATGATCGCTCACACTTCCTGAACAACCGAGCCCCAGCCCCAGCAAGAATAAACATCAACAGTGACTTTAGCCCTCTCTACGCATGAAGAAAAGCAGAATAGGCCACTGAAGTGTACCAAAGGATCAAGAGTTAAGTGAAATTGCTACAATATAAAATTTAACAAGTAGACAAGCATAATCTTTGGCATATCACTTCTGGAAATGAAATAATTATTTGAGAAATGTAAATAAGCATTCAGCTTTCACAGACTTCCTGACATAGATTAGATGCACATCAAATACGTGCCAGCTTAGACAAAGACACATGAAATAAGTAGTCCAAGCTTCCTTCTCCCAGGCAGAAAGCGACTACTACCTCTTGGGAACCATAGTGACTGATTTCTTTGTGGCAGACACTGCACCAAGCAATTTATAACTATTATATCAGTCATTCTTTCCAGTGACCCTGAGAAGGAGGTACCTGTTTGGCCCCTGAAGAAATCAAGACACAAGGGATGTTTAGGAACTTGCTGAAACTCTCAGAGCTGGTGAGTGGGTGAATCGAGTTTTGAATTAAAGCAAAATGGCTCTAGAATCTATGCCGGTAGATACACTACTACAAATCAGTTTTTCACTTTCAGGGTGGTGTCTAAATGTGGTTAAATCTGAAGATCAACTGAAATTTTCACCCTTTTCCTCATCTATGATTAGCAAGTTGGCAAGAAATAATGAGGAGGAAGAATTTGGGTGAAGGAGAATAGGATGACCTCATGGTACCGAAAAGATGAGACATAGGTCTGAGGCCTACGTTTAAAACACTGTTATTGGAACAGAAGGTAAACATTGAAAAGGCTTTCCTGATATGATCTATATGCCACTACTCAGAGGCATGCACATGATGAAGGAACAGGTTTCAGGCCCAGAGGCACCTGGACGAGGGGGCAGGCAAGGGCTAAACACCCACCTACTTCTTCTTGACCAGCTGTGTGTTGTCAGAAAGTTCTGTCCGAGGCACACAGAGAACTTTTCTTCCTGATTGCAAAATAAGCACTTTTCTTCTCAGCTGGCTTCTGTAGGCCACTTCTCTACAATTTTAAAGCTTCATAGAATTTATTTAAACCAGAGCAGGAGAGGATCCTGACTACTACCTAAGGCAAGAATAGCTGGTATTTTCATTTTCGTGGAAGTCACCTTCATGCTAAATCTCACCATTGCTCACATTCCTGAGATGCAGAAATCTGTTCACAAATGTCAGAAGCAGTAAAGGTAAGAGAGAAATAAGACATTGGAAGAAAGTGGAAAAAAAAATCTTTTTAGACAGTTACTTAAATAAATAATGACCCTGAGCTTTGAGATTAGAGGTCACACACAAAAGTGTTTCTTAGCCTTCAGCACAGGCCGGGTCTGACAGACCAGGTTTAAAACTCAGCTAGGAAAATAAAGAATGAGCCATGCGCGGGCCCTGGAGTTTCAGTCCCACTTGCAGATCCTCACTGTAAAAACTGAATGTGAAGAGTTTTGCAGATTTAGAATTACCATGTAGCAGCTTTCTGAACACAGGACATGGATCTTGGTGTCACTGTAACATTTATAACATTCAAACTGTAGCCTCTGTAGGACTTCCCTCATGTACTCACTTACCCAAATCCATGTGAAAGTAAATATTAGGAGGGGCTATTTGTAATTAATCATTTGTGAAAAATCCCTTTCCACACCATATCTAATCAGTGTTTCTTAAACCAAAGGCATTCGCTTATCACATTTATGATTACTGATATTATCTGTGTATCAATTTTATATCTAGGTACCACATAGACTACTTTTATCTACTTTATATCTTTCTTTAAGCTCAATGATTTCAACTAAAATTTTTAACAGAAAATTTGGTATCTCTTCTGTAAACATATAAGCAATTTGCCTTCATAAGAAGAAAAGCATAAAAGTAGATGCAAAAACAAAATAATATTACTAATTTGGTGGATACTATTACCCACCCAATGCTCTAATATTGAAGTCTGCTCTGCCTTTATGGGGGAAAAAAAAGAGGTGGTTATATAATATGAGATATTAGGGCAAACTATTGCCAGAACCATTTGCTTTTCTTAAAGAGAACTGCTAGTAGAAGAAAATTAGGTAAAGGATGACTTCCTCACTGTGCAAATTCAATGTTATTTAAGAGTGTATTTTTGTACTACAAAACTGCTATAAGCAGCAAAGTTCCCCGGTATAGTGCCTCTTACCCATAAAGATGGAGTTTATACATATAACTAATCAACCTTTTTCGTGTCTAATACTCCTTTGATGGAGATAGTTCGTTCTACATTCATGTCATGTAGTTAAAGGCAAACAAAGCATTAACTTACCATGTTCATCCAGTAAAATATTGTCAGGCTTCATATCCCTGGGGGAATTAAAGAAAAAGAGAGAGAGACTAAGTAATCCAGAATAAAACAAGCAAACACAGCTAAAGAATAAAGGCTACAATTCTCAAGAGTGCTTCCGAGAGTCTGCACAACCTACCCCGGCTTCTCTCACAGTCTTAGTTCTCGAAGGGAGTCTCTGAGACAGCTACCATTCAAATCCTCAAGTTGTGGGTCAGAAAACCGAGAGTTTACCCAGGGTCACAGAACTAGCAAAGGAAGATGTGGGCTCTAAACCTGAGTCTCTGTTCAAAGACTCAGACTCTTATTTGCTATAACATATTATATTTAAGCATGTAAATATGGGTCCATCTAAATTGCCATAAAGTAGCATTAATTAGTGTTTTCCTGTGTAATCCCAAAGTTACATAGATCCTATAAATTTTCAAGACTCTATAAAGTGGGAAAATATGGTCTATACTGTGGTTATGTTTAAAATTTGCAGAAATTTGGTATTCTTTTAAGATGATAGCTTAATGCCTCTAGTTGCTTCATAATTATTCCTGCAGTAAAAGGGACTAATATACCATGTTTTGGTGTATGGCACAATGGCCAGAGTTAATAATATCATATCCTGGAAATCTGCTAAGAGGATAGATTTCAGGCGCTGTCACCACAAAGGAAAAACAAGGCAACCACGTGTCTAGATGGATATGTTATGTTTTTTTGACAGCAGTATTCAGTTCATCATGTACATATCTATCAAAACATCTTATTATACATCCTAAATAACAGCATTTTCTAAAAAAAAATGAAAAAATAATAAAAGTAAAAATTTCTATATTCCCAGCACTTTGGGGGCTGAGGCCAAAGGATCAGAAGTTGAGAGTACTGTCTGGGTAACATAGTGAGACCCTGTGTGAAAATTTAAAAAACGAAACAAGGTACACATATAGGAGTCAGTGCCATGGCCTCTGGTTCAATCTCCAGTACATAAACAAATGAACAGTCCACAGAGGACAGCCAAACCACAGTCTTGCAATGAATGGAGTGGTGTGCTAGTAAATACCAAGAGTGACGGCCAACAGTTTTCAAAGTTCTCACGAAATGAATAACACTGTAAGCAACGCTCCTCACCAGAGAACAGCCCTGTGATGTTCTCAGTCCTCACCTCTCCACTCCCAGAGTTTCACTTCCTTTCCCTAATGCACCATTAAAGCCCTTCAGCCTAGACTCATAGAAGCCCTTAGGGAAGAAATTCTAAAAACTTGGTTTTGGGAACACATTTTCAGTCTGGTCAAGTGGCTTTTACACTGCCAGAATAAAAAGTAACCTTAACCCGAAGCACAGAAGGCCGTAAGTATCCTCTTTTTCTGGTAACACTAGCTTACAACTGCTTGGCTACAGAACTAAGTGCATGCTGCATCCAACATCCAGGTGGCATGGATTGCTGTGTAGCTTTTGAAAATCTTTTCATTAAGTTTGTTAGGTCATCAACGTTATTTCTGGATGCACAGACTACTCATCTGTATCTGTGGCAAATCTCTCTCTGGTGCCTGATACAATTGGCTAAAAAGATAGAATAGGGGGACTTTTAATTGCAAGTTTCTGTGGTAATCATAATATTGTAGGTTCCACCCCAAACCCTTACACAAATCCATCACTTCAAGAATTGTCAAGTCCAAATTCACTGACGAGGCAGAAAAGCCCTATCATCCTGTGCTCTGTGCTGCAGCACAGATGTGCGTGGGTCCTCCGAATGCTCCTGCGTTCCCCTCGCTCCTCACTTCCGTGGGTGCTGCTTCCCGGCCTAGGTCATCCTCTGTCACTATTGCAATCAGACCGTGCAGATTCACCCTTGACCTCATCGTTCAGATGCTACTTCCTGCAGGGAGATGTTGGTGACTTTCCAACGCTAGGTCAAGTGACCATGCTATGTGTTTTCACTACACGGTATATCTCATCCACCATGACAGATATCACAGGTGTGTTCATTTTTCCTCATCACACTTATGTTTTCAAATTCCTTGCTGTTGGGAATGCTACCTTGACTAATGTCACAGTACATCACTTAGATTCATAGCACTCAGTGGTCACTAAATGACACCCGGAGTAATTCTAGTGCACTCAAAAAGGCAGATCTTAACAGTGTAGGCCAGAATGCTACAATCAAACCTCTCTGTAGCTTCAATCTAGAGATTAACCAGGCATTAGGCCCTTTCCACCTCTTTTAGTTCTGCATCCACTGAGAATCAAAGGAAAGAGTCGAGTGTGGCACAATCGATAACAAGGTCTCTTGGCTTAAATTTACAAGGACGTGCTGAGAGAGATGAACTGAGGTCATTTCGATGTTGTGAGTTTACCTTAAGTCCCTGAACATTATTTTTCTTACTTTTTCAAGTTAAACAGCATTATACCTACTAAACTTCCCAGAAACTTTGGTGAAACTTAGTAATACAGAGTTCAGAGAGGTAACAGTTTATTGTGCTACTTCTTACTTCAAAACTGTTTTTCACTTATTCATCGAATGTTTATTTACCTTGGTAAGTCACTGTACTTGAAAATATAAAGATGAATGAGGTACGTCCCTTGGGGTTGGACAAGATGAGAAAGCTTCATAAGGAAACATTCCTTAAAGACATGAAGTGGTAAGGGGGCACGTGTGTTACAAATTCAAAGAAAAAATATGAGGAAAATCCAATAAAAATGTAAAATAGTAAGTGAATTTTGAAACATGCAAGAAATGACATAAGCTTAGATTTACAATTACACAGTTTCTCCGGAACATAATGAAGTAATTACAGAGAAGATTACAGTCACTACGGGGAAAACTGATGTATGGTAAAATTGTTTTTTCATATATGAGAAGGAGGAAATGAAAAAAATCCAGTAAGCTATATTGAAAGTAATGCTAGAATGAGTTAAGACTTTCTAGTTTGGAATTTCAGCTCCATTTCCTTTCTCTAGTATCAATTCAGGTTTTCCAAGTAAATCTAAATATGAAATAACTTATTCCAAAATGATTTAGTTTTCATTTAAGGCTGCTAGGTTTAATTTAGTGGTCAGAAAGCATCAGTGCATTTCAGAATTACCTGGGAAGGTTTGAACAATGAGGTTTCTCTGGCTTAGCCCCACTCTCTGTGGACAGAACCAGGCATCTGTCCAACACTAAACACTGCTCTAAGGCATTATGTTGTGCAGCCATGTTAAAAAATCAGGCATTCTTCCAAATCCAAAATGCCAATCTGATTTAAAAATATAAAGCTCTTAACAGCTTATCTATGAAGAGGAGTCGAAAAAGTGAAATGCTTACCCATTCACTGAGAGATTACTTTGTTAAATCATATACGAAAGTCTTTTATAGGCTATGTAGCAGGTGTGATTGAAATATATGATGCATGTTTACATTTTACAAAGATTACTGCACTAAAAGACATACTGCCGTGAATCCTCCCCGAAGCACACCCCTCACACGTGTTCCATTATTCTTGTCGCTTCTGAAGGGGTTCTAGAGTCCTCTTCTGCTAGTGTCTTTAGTTGTGCTGTCATGGCTGCCTCGACATCCTCCTAATCTGCTAAAAACATTTGCCTTTCATGGTTGTTTCGACACTGGGGAAGTCAGAAGTCACATGGTGCCAGATATGGTGAAGAGGGTGGAGGAGGACTCACCATAACGGTTTTATGAGGGAAGGGAGGGTGAGTACTTTGAGGGGGGTTAACAGCGATGGGTCTTTCCTGTAATAAAATTTTTAAATTTTAAACATTTACCATATGTTTTGAACACACCTTGTATCATTTGCGAGCAGCTAGTTATGAGCTCCTTCTCTCTTGCTTTTTTTTTTTAATCACCCTATGTGAATTCAGTTCGGCAGGGATGGGCCCTCAGTTTTTGGCTTACTTCCAGCACTTCCTTCATCTATCCCACCCAATTGATTCACTCTTCTCAATCCTTAATCGCCCCCTAGTTATTCGGAGAGCCTATCCTCTGACCAGTGTGACCTTCTACCCAACACAGTCTCCAAACTGTCTACTTTGCCACACTGAGACAACCAGTTATTGAAACCGTAGCATCTGACTTGTAAACCAAAGTCTCCTGTTCTCAATCCCTTCCACTGCGAGTTGTTAATATTCATTGTAAAAAAACCTTTCTCTCATCCCCATGGCTACATTTACTTGATCAAGTTCCTCTGTAAGTTAAAACTCAACTACCCAGATTTTCTTGCCTGAAGCCAAGCATCTGAACTTTGCTAGAAGAGACATGTTGCCGGGTGTGGTGGTGCACACCTGTAATCCCAGCACTCAGGACTGAGAGGCATACTACCCAGATTTTCTTGCCTGAAGCCAAGCATCTGAACTTTGCTAGAAGAGACATGTTGCCGGGTGTGGTGGTGCACACCTGTAATCCCAGCACTCAGGAGGCTGAGGCAGGAGGATTGCTGTGAGTTTGAGATCAGCCTGGACTACATGGTGAGTTCCAGGTCAGTCTCAACTACACAGTGAGACCTGTCTCAAAAAACCAAAACAAACAAACAAACAAACAAAAAAGACACGTTGGCCATTCTCACTCACGTGCACATTCACGTGCAGGCCATGCTGTGATGCTCACTTTCTCACTCGCCCAGGTAACCCCTCCACTTTTTGCCTTGCTCCTCCAGCTTCGGATATTCTCCTTCCGCTCTCTTTCCATTGATGACGGTGCCTCCTCACTTCACAGAAAGAACTGTGGTGTGTCCACTCACTTATCACCAATCTGCCAACCTATCCCTGCCCTCCCTCTTCAGTGAAGAGTCCCCGCCCCTACCTCAGGCCAGCTTTTCTGCTGGGGCTCAGGATGTCACAGATTTCCTTCAAGAAGTACCCCTGACTCCTCCTACACCCTCTTCTTCTCCTTCTCTTGCGTGAAAATATGTTATGTTTGGTCTCCGCCAACCCCCGCCAAGCCATTTTCACCTACGGCCCCTTACTGCTTTCCTTCACAATAAAGTTTCTGGACTGAGATTTTGACAGCTGAGGAATCACAAACAGCAACTCCAATTTTCTT